TTGATTTCTCTCTACAGACACTGTCAGACCTCCTGAGTTTCTCTAGCAATGTTTTTTGTTTCAGATTTCCAGCATCCACATTATCTTGCTTTCATTATAATTTTTATCATGGTGGTCTTTCTTTGATTGTTATCCAAATGTAAGACTATTTTAAATTTAAGTAATGGTATTTAATTTAGCTGCAAATCCTGTTTCTCTGTAACTTTTAATAGCAGTTAAGGCAGACATGCAATTTCTATGTCAGTGATGCACTTTAAGGGAGTTGACTCATTTCCTGTTTCCTTTGTCTCAGTACTTTCCTGCAGATGCATCGTACACGAGTTCTAGTGCTGGCGTTGTGCTGATGTTAAGCCCAGCAACATTCTACATTCGAGCTGGAGAAGAGCCAGTGACAGCAGTACTGTTTGCTCTGTCCTACAGTGCTCTCGGTAAATGAGCTGGTAGAGCTGTCTTGCCTTCAACATAGTAAACTGTAGACCAAGACTGTCGAATTTATCATTGTGGGTGTCTCCTGTGTAACAATAAAAACAGTGCCCTCACGTGTAAAACTGCTTACAGCAGCATTTTCTAAACGTGCAATTGCACAAATTTGAAACTGGGCAACATATAAAGTAAGAAATTTAAGGGGAGAAATACCATTCATAATGCCTTATTCAAGTTTGCAGAATTGGTAGCAAGCATTCAAAGATTGGGCCGGTGGTGGTTTGGCTAGCTGAAGACCGGTTTGAGACCTTGCACACGGTTGCCTCAAGCTTTAAGTTTCCAGTTGGTTTGTGGTAGAAGCCATTTCATTTCCTCCCCTGTCTGACCTGGCAAGCTGTAGCAGAGTGGCTATTTAGTGCTTGACAATGTTTAAGTGGGCTCTCAGACAATATTCTCCCTATGTCCTGGGCTGGTACCACACAGACCTTATTCTGGGAATGTGAACACAGGGCTGTGCAAAATCTATTCAAAGGGACTGTGCTATCCTTTGAACAAAAAAAAATCATACAAACATAGCAACTAAGTATTAAAGGGAACATTGGCCAGATAGCAGATATAAGTCACTTAGCAAAGCATGGCCCTGCTATAACAAGTTTTATCACTTTAACAGCCTGCCTAGAGAAGTGGGGATTTCTCATGTACTGCTTTTATATATGGCTGACTCATTGAAGTAAGGCCTTCCATGAGCTGGTGCCCATATCTGCCCCTAGGCTTAATTGTTTTGGCTATTGGGATGGAACTAGAATGTTTGCAATATCTCCATCACTATTTGACCCTGACCTAAGCTTAGGACCCCATGTAATCATCGTTACCAAGCCCATTTACTTCCACGTCTGTCCTTTGACCTGCCTCTATGTCTGCCTTGACTAGCCTACTGCTGATAGCCTGATAGGGGAGGTGATGGCCTAGTGGTATTATCACTGGGCTGTTAATCCAGAGATCCAGATCACATTCGGGACCAAGGTTCAAATCCCACCATGGCAGATGTTGGAAAAACCCATCTGGTTCACTAATGCCCTTTTAGGAAAGGAAACTGCCATCCTTACCTGGACTGGCCTACATGTGACTCCAGACCCACAGCAATGTGGTTGACTCTGAACTGCCCTCTGGGCAATTAGGGATGGGCAATAAATGTTGTCTAGCCAGTGATGCCCTCATCCCGTGAATGAATAAAGAAGAAAAAACAATCCTCGCTTTGTTACCCGAAATCCAAATTATTCCATTACGTTCCTGGCTGACTTTCAACCTCCACAATTTTGATGTATCAATTCAGATTGGCTGTCTATATCTTCACTTGCACCAAGTCATGTTCACCCCACACTCGCTACCTACATTGACTCCGTGTTGCCTGAACTTAAAAGTTTTAATCACGTATCCGTGTGGCCCTGCAATCTCCTATCTCTATCACATCTCCCAGGTCTTGGCACTCTTCCCATTCTGCATAGTTTGTACACCCCAGTTTCCTTCCTTTCCCTGAGAGGACTTGCTTTCAGCTCCTAAACTCTAAACTCTGAATTCCACTCCTAAACATTTCCATGATGCTTCCGATCTCTCGTTTTAAAATGCTCTTTAAAATCAATGTCTTTGATCAAGCTTTGAGTCAGCTGTTCTGTATATTTTAAATATAACTGTGGGTTTGGTGGCCATTTTTGTCATGTTACAGTGAAACACCTCATAATACTTTGGGAAATGTAAAGGCACTGTGTATACTAGTGTGGCACTGTTGGGAAAGTGGCATAATCCAGGCTTAGGCTTATGTGGGGAAAATAGGTTCAAATCCAAACTGGATATATTAAAATTAATCAATTCACCTGGAATAGAAAGCTGGTCGCAGCAATGGTAATCATTCTGGCTTAATGTATGGCCATCAAAAGTTGACTTTTTTTATTTACCTCCCAACTTGCAAAGTGTATGTTTTAAATGCATTTTAATGGACTTGAATGTAAAATTTTTATTGCTCTTTTATTTTTTTCCTTTTGCATTCCATCTGTGATAACTTTTATGGATGGTCTTTTGCTGCACGTTAGTTAATTGTATGAATCCTGGTTCTGAGATTCTCTCGGTGAAAACCTAATATTCACTGTTTTTTTTTTTATTAGTATTCAACTGATTTTTCGTGAAGATGAACCGTAATGTCTGTCTTACCTTTCAATAGCAAGCATCAACGTAGGAATCTCAGAATTACTCTCCATCCTTTTCATGTTCTTTTATTGATCTTTCTTCATTCTACCTTTCCTGCATCACATCCAAATCTGTACCTTTCAGATTGCTGAATGTTATACACTTTTTCCACTTCACTGTTCGCACGTGAGCCTTCAGTTATTTTGTCTGCTCTTAATCCTTTTGCAATACTACATCAAGACCACCTTTAAAAGGTTCCTTAAACTGACATCTTGAAGGGTACGTTCAGTCACTTACTCCAATCCCCCTTGTACACTGGGATGTTTTGCCACATTTTATCGCGCCTTAAAATTCAGCTTTCTTTTTGACCTGAGCATCTTGTAAATGAGTATGAATCTTTTTGGCACATCAAAAAGCCTTTATACATTACAATTTCAGATGGAAGTGCTGATATGTACATAGAGAGATAAAATAGGAGTCTGGGTTACTCGTAAACTGAACACACTTTGAAAATATTTTGGGGTACAATTCAACATCGAAACACAATATAGACAGTATATTAGCTCTTAATATATTCTTGACTAGAAAACAAATTTCTATGGGGTGTATAACAGTTGGCAAATGTGCTATTGACTGTTTTACATCCCAGCCCTAGTTGAATTTCATCCCCAGTGTTTGAGCATTATAAATTCAAAACAATGTTTACCAAATATTCTCTTCCTAAACTAAAGGTGCTGGCTCATCATCTTTCCCCTCTTTCCCTCAGATCCTGTACCGGGTGCCTGCAACACTGAATTTATCCTGGAAAATGACCCAAATTTGCACTTGGTGTACAACAGTTATGAAACTTCTGTTATGTTTGCACCAGCTAACTTGGGTGCACCGAGGTAAGTCAGCAGCTAGCATTACTTTTTGACAGCTGGAAGTGGTCTGACTTTTGCGTTCTCTGACTTGGCTGGGAGAGGTTTTTGCTTTTGTTTCATTTTAATATGACTGGTTATCTATTTATTTTGCAAGTTGAAATGAATTAAAATTGCCATCTATTCTTAGCTACAAACTTCTGTAACTTATTTAGATGCTTTAAAACTGTTTAAAATGTGATTCCTAAAGTGCATTTTTTTGAGTTGCACGATTTAAAATTATTCCCATGCTCTAGGCTTTTTGGAAAGAAGTTTTTTTATCACGTGGACTTTGGTGCAACTGTTGCATTTTCCTTGATATAAAAAAAGCATGCACACATATAGGCAACACTACGAAGGCCAGCATTTATCATCTATCCATCGTTACCATTGAAGAGAACGTGATGCATCACTATCTTGAAGTGTTTTAGCCTGTGTTCGGAAGATAGTCTCTCAGTGCCTGGATCTTAACCTAATAATGACAAAACAAAGGTGTATAAATTGGAGGTGATGGTGTTCCCATGTAACCATTCCCCCTGTCCTTTTCAGTATTAGAGATTTGATCTATGTATTGTTATTTTTTTTAAGCCAGTCTGGCTTGAATTACCTAATCTAGAGAACTGTTCCAGTTGTTCAATGTTCTGAAGATGTTTCAGCTGTGCTGGGGAAGAGTAATACTCGACTTGAAATGTTAACTCGGTTTCCTCTCCATAGATGCTACCAGATCTGTTATGCAATGAAGAGAGGCTGGATGAGCTTGAGTTGTTTTCTTTAGAGCAGGCAAGGCTGAGAGGGATAACACAGTGTGGAGCTGGGGGAACACAGCAGGCCAGGCAGCATCAGAGGAGTAGGAAAGCTGACGTTTCGGGTCGGGATCCTTCTTCAGAAGTGGGGGAGGAGGAAGAGAGCTCTGAAATATATAGAGAGAGGAGGGGTGGGGCTGGGGAAGGTAGGTGGGATGGTGATAGGTGAGTGCAGGTAGGCAATGGTGGGGATTGGTCAGTGAGGTGGGAGGAACGGATAGGTGGGAGAGAACACAGACAGGTCAAGGAGGTGGGGATGAGAGGGAGGGTTGGTCATTGGATGAGGCACCTGATAGAGGTGTATAAGATTGAGGGGGTACGGAAAGGGTGGCTAGAAAATAGCTGTTCCCCTTAGTTGATGGGTCAATAACACGTAGATATAATTTTAAGGTGAAAGGTAGGAGATTTAGAGAGGATTTGAGGAATGTTTTCACCCAGATGGTGGTGGGGATCTGGAATGCACTGCCTGGGAGGGTAGTTGAGACAAGAAACCACCTAACCTTTAAAACGTATTTGGATGAGCGCTTGACATGTCATAACATTCAAAGCTACAGTCCAAGAGCTGGAAAGTGGGACGAGTGTAGGTTCAGGGTAGTTTTTGTCAATGCAGACTCAATGGGCCAAAAGGCCTGTTCTGCACAATGATTTTACTTGCAACATTCCCTTCTTTTCAAATTTCCAACATCTGTAGTATTTTACTTTTATTGATACATTGGCTACTCACTCAAGGAAATGATGTCTGATGAAACCAATGATTATATTAGATTATAAACTTGTAATGAAAAGCAGGACAAATGGAGGTCCAGTGTTTTCTGAGCAGCAGGAGAAGAAAAGTGAGCTTTAAGTATTGTCCTTTTTCTTTTTTGAAGAAAGGCTGAAGTATTCAAGGAATTTGTTTGAATGGATAATTTATACTGCTAACTTGATGTTCATATGTATTTGCTTTAATCTTGTAGGCAGTCGCTACCTCCTGCTTGTGATGTGAAGACAGATGTTTCGACACGATGGAGACTGACCTACGATATTTGTCAGTATTTTCTACCCGAGAATGACCTCAGCATGGAAAGTTTATCAGAAGGAATGAGAAAGATGTCATCTGTTCAAAAGATAGAACAGAATGGAATAAAGGTAAATATTCATTGTAGGCAGGATGGTATGAATCTTCAGGTTTGAAGCTTTTGAAAACCTCTCATGATACATAAGGTATTTGTCACTTTCAACCTGAAAGATATTCATTTATATTTCCCTTTTATAGTAGATTAATTTTGATCAAATATTTATATTAACTAGCCACTTTTGTGGAATCTCGTTGTATACATATTAGCTGCTGACAAATCAAGCGCATGCACTTCTGGATTAATATTTGACTAAAAGCGCTTTGCTCATTTAGGTGATGTGAAGGGTGCTATATGAATTCAAGGTATTTGCTTTCAGTAATTAAAACTGCTATTTTCCTGACCGGGTATAGGCAGGCAAAACTGTGCCACACATCTGCCAGAAATGAGCAAAATGTAGAATTTATTTGTACTTAGAGTGGATTTCCTTGTTTATTGATTGAATATTGGTAACTTTTTTAAAACAGCACGTATTTGTATGGCTGTTTTCGTGACCTTGTGTCATCCCAAAGTAATTTTAACATGTAATCACTGTTGTAATGTATGAGACACAAAATTGTGAACTGCAAGCTCCCACTAGCAGCTCTATTTTTCATGTATTTGCCAATTTCTGAGGGAGGCGATGGCCTAGTGGTATTACTGTTAGACTATTAAACCAGATAATGTCTGGAGACCCAGGTTCAAATCCTGCTATGGTTGATGGTGGAATTTGAATTCAATAAAAATCTGGGATTACGAGTCCAGTGATGACCATGAAATTATTGGAAAAAATCATCTGGTTCACTGATGTCCTTTGGGGAAGAAAATCTGCCATCCTTACCTGATCGGGCCTATGTGTACTCCAGACCACAGCAATGTAGTTGAGTCTCAACTGCTCTCTGGGCAATTAGAAATGGACAATAAATACTGGCCTGGTCAGTGGTGTTCATGCCATGTGAACGAATATTAAAAAAATGCGATTAAATAATGGCCGCAACACCAAGGGTAACTTGCCTGTCCAACTTCAAAAGTGTTATGGCAGCTCTTTGTTTGCCTGATTGGGCAGGCCAATCCATTTTAACCTGGGAAAGCTATATTGTAATTCAGGGTAGTCGCTCAGGAAAGTGTACATTAGTTGAGGAAAGCTTACTTTTTTTATTTGAGGACAAATGGTGTCTAATTTAAGGTTTTTGAGGAGGAAGAGGTAATGCAATTGATGTGATGTAAAGCATTTTGATCAAGTGCCAAGGCTTGTCAGCAAAGTTAGAGCTTGTGGCATTAAAGAGATAACAGTAGGATGGATACAAATTTGGCTGGGTGATAGGAGGGAGTGATCAATGGTGATTTTACAGCATATTTGTGAAGGAGTTCCCTAGGAGCCTGCAACTGGATCTCTGTTTTTCTTGATATTACTTCTTCATTGCTTGTACACCCAAATGCAAGTCATGTCAAAATTTGCAGACATCAAGCTTTGGGGGCATTTTGGACAGTGATAAACTTAGGGATTGGGGGAATGGGTGGATAAATGGCAAATGAAATTTTGATAGAGACATGTGTGAAGCGATTTCTTTCTATAGGAAGAACGAGAAGAGACAATATAACTAGGGGACTGTTTTGAAAATGTGCAGGAGCAAAGGCCCAAATCATTAAAAGCGGCCAGGAGGATTGAATAAAACAGTTATAATCCATGTAGGATCCTGTACCTTACAATAATAAAGTTATACTTTGTCTAAGAGTTTCCTCAACTGAAGTATGGTGTCCAGTTCCAGCATCCCACTTGAGAAAGGATGTGAAGGCTTTAGAGAGCAGAAGTAATTAAAGTGCATAGTTCCAGGGATGAGGGACTTCAGGCACATGGTAGATTGAAAAAGCCAGGACTGCTATCCTTGAAGGTGGGAAGCTTTAGAGGAGATTTAATAGATATTCCAAATTATGAGACCAGTGAACAGAGTAGATGAGGTCTCAAAATGTTCCCATTTTTAAAATATTCATTAATGGGATGTGGGTATTGCTGACTAGAACAACATTTATTGCCCATCCCTAACTGCTATTGGGCAGTTAAGAGTCAACAGCATTGGTGTGGGTCTGGAGTCACTCATGGTCCAGACCAAGCAAGAATGGTAGTTTCCTTCCCTCAAAGCCATTAATGAACCTTTTGGGGTTTTCCAACAATCGACAATGGCTTCATGGTCATCATTAGACTCTTGAATTCAATTTTTAAAAAAAATCTGGAATTAAATTCCACCAGCTGTTATGCCAGGGTTTGAACCCAGGTCTCCTGAGCGTTACCTGGGTCTCTGGGATTAATACACTAGGAAAATACCACTAGACTACTCTAAAGGTTGGAAGATCAAGAGCTAGAGGTCTCGAATTAATGTCAATTGGCAAAAGAAACAATAATGGAGATTATGGAAAAGTGTTTTTTTTTGGGGGGGCGCAACTGGCACTTGGGATTGGCCTATGTGTAGTTGGGTTTCAATTGAATCTTTAAAGAAGCCAGATAATTATCTGGATAGTAAGAATTACAGAACAACGAACAGAGAATTTTTTTTGAGTGAGATGGCTAAGAATTAGGTGACTAATTTCTTATTTGCCCGACTGGGCAAGAAGTTGAATTTTAATTGAGAAAAATGAATGGAAACATATTGAAAATTGGATGGAGGGCCAGTAGATGCTTTTTCATCCTTGCAATGACTCTCTCACCACCTGGTATTTGTTTTGTAGGATGAAATGAACCTGGTTAAACACAACCTACTTTAACCACTGCAGCTTATACTTGGCACCTGCTGCTGTTAGCAGCACCCCCTCATTCTAAATTGAATTTAAAAAATAAAAACCTAGCCTCTATTTTTGAGTTGAGGTGAAGAATGATCTCTTTGTATGTTAATTTAGTTAATTGATATACTTGAAGTCCCAATGCACTTTCTCTTTTATAACTGCAGATCACCACATTAAATTCGTTTGAGCAGACAATAATCTATGGAAACTCGTATATTGGCACTGGAGTGATATACAATGTCATTGTCCGGGACCCTGTTTGGAAAACCTCCGCATCTTATATCCCTGTGTCTACATATGCCTGCACTTTGTCCTCTGCAGGAGATCTCTGTGAGAATTCAGGTAAAGAAAAATCATAGTTGCAAGTAAACCTTTGCATATATGACCATTTTGTAAAGTATGTTTCTGAACTGTACGAGGACACAAAGCAGAATCAGTGGGAGAGTTTGAATTAGTGGCTAGCTAGAACTATGTCTGCTCACCAAGTAGATGCATGACATTGAGACTAAGAGGGATGGAAGAACCATTTTACTTTTGACATTTACAGGATTCAGCTGTTGTGTAACTTTGAAAATACTAAAAGCAACTTTACTTGGATATTATTTCAACGTATGAGGTGGGAGCTCACTGCTCAGGACCTCGAGCCTGTTGTACCAATCATTTAAGATTGTGGCTGATTAATCCACATTCCTCTCTACCCCTACATCACCCATAATCTTAAGTACAATTCTTAGAGTTATGTGAATTTCAGTTTTATAATTTTTGTTTGAAGTTCAAAATCTCAGGGTAAATTAGTTGGGTTTAGATCAGTTTAGTTGAAGCTGATAAACAATTAGCCACCTCCGAGGAACCAAGTATAAACGGAGGCACGGTGGCTCAGTGGTTAGCACTGCTGCCTCTCAGTGCTGGGGACCCGGGTTCAATTCTACCCTTGGGCGACTGTCTGTGTGGAGTTTGCACATTCTCCCTGTGTCTGTGTGGGTTTCCTCCAGGTGCTCAGGTTTCCTCCCACAGTCCAAAGTTGTGCAAGTTAGGTGGATTGGCTGTGCTAAATTGTCCATCGTGTAGGGATGTGTAGATTAGGTGCGTCAGTCATGGGAAATACAGGGTTACAGGGATAGGGTAGGAGGGTTGGGTCTAGGTGGGATGCTCTTTAGAGGGTCAGTGTGGATTTGTTGGGCTAAATAGCCTGTTTCCACACTATAGGGATTCTATGAAAAGGTAATATTTTAAAAATTGCAGCAAGTAATAATTTTCGGAGCAATTATTTGCTTTCACATTTTATTTGTGATGCAACCTGGATTGAAACTGGAAACCTGACACATTTAACTAATAATTTTTATGTCTAGGTATAAAATATAGCTCGTTTGACACTGATCAAATATAGTAAAGGTATATTTAGGTTGCTATAGCAAAATGCTGTTTGTGATGCCCGTGTAAGTGCATTGCAAATTAATTCATTCAAAATTTATTTTTTCTTTTGATTCAAATCAGGTGGGATTACACATTCTGCGCTTTTACTAAATGGCTGCCTTTTATAATGAAATTACAGCTCTCTAACATGCAGGCTAAGATTCTGTTAAATTATAACAAAGGATGAACTCTCTTGGTCAGCTTTTGTACTTTTACATCCAAGTCCAGATGGAGGTTTCTAGTACGCCTGACGTTTTTTTTGTTAATAATTTAATCTTCAACAGTTTCCAGAAGTACAATAGTAGAAAATTGGCCACTTCCACAAGCAGAAAAATTAGAAGTTCTGCCAGAAGTTGGCAGACCTGTGTAGTTTTTGCATTTCGTCTCCCATGTGGTTATAATTTTTCGCTGATGGAAAATCCGGAGTATTAAGTGCTTAGTAATGTGTAACAATCGATCGTTGCATAATTGTTTACCAGTGCAAAGTTTGTATGATATTTAAACAGAGCAAGGCGCATGGCTGGGTTGATTTTGTTTGTCATGACAAATCTATATGTCCAGCTGTCTACATTTTTCTCAATATCTTAACCCAGTTTAAATATTCAATAAATTGTACCTTTGATTTTCCAGGATATTCCACAATTTTACAACCACTTTAGTTTGCAGAAATGTTTTCTGTGAATTAGTTGTTGATAGTTTTATCCCAGATTACCAACCAAAAAAACAGCTTTGTTTTCCGACCTGTCCTAGAAATCCATTCATTATAGTGCACACTGCAGTCGGGTCAGTCTTAACCATCACAACATAAGCATGCACAGTTTCATAAGTTCCCTTGTACTGGTGAATAGTTACTGTACTTCCTTGATTCATACTACTAGCTTCCTGAGAAGGGAAGGCCACAATTCTATCCAGTTGTTGCTGGCTGTCTCTCTTTATTTTTGGTATACTTGTGACACATTTCAACTATCACTTTGAATTTCTGATCGCTCTGCCCACAAGCCAACTCAGGGCGTGCATACCTGTCTCATAGTTTTTAACTTCATTCTTCCCCTTTTGCCACTTGCTTCTCTAACTGAATTACTAACAGTGCCAATGCTATCCATTCTCAAAGCCGGTAATGCGGTTTCATCATCTTATTGGCTGTATGAAAATTGTTTGTAATCAGCTGACAGTACGAACGTGAATATAGGTAGACAAGGACACGTTTTGGCGAAGCCTTTTATCTTGCACTCATCCAGACCTTGTGAGCATACAAATGCAAAGGGGAGCAACATTTTAAAACTGAGAAGAGGGTCCTGGTTGATTGGCAAGAGGACTCTGGCTATAGAGGTTTTGCCATGGGGAATGCACCAGTTAAATGAGATTTGACAGTTAACTGCTGAGCTTTACCAAGGTGTGCTTTTTTTAAAGCAATAGTCCATGCCTTGTAATACTTAGCACATTGTTCTGCAAGCTAATATTTTTACCTATGAAAATATAACGACTTCTCAGCCCCAATGAATTATTATAGCTGTCCACACAAAAACCAAGGAGTGATAATGATTTTGAGATGCCTCATTGTGTGAGAGGAATATTATAAAATATGAATTGTTAATAAAAACATGTTTTTGTTTCTCGCTGGAGTTAAGCAGGACGTCCGTTTGCTATTTGACTGTCAAACCAGGCCTATTCATATTAATGTTATTATTTATTATTTTTTATTTTTCATATGAATGACATCACTGAAAACTTTCAATTAATCACGAACTAACAGGTTCAACCCCAAATGAGGTATCTTTCTTTTTTTTAAATTTGCAGATAGAAATTTCATCTATGTACAGGCTCTATGCACAGTACTAGGAGCCTATGGCTTAATACTCTGTTTGATTGGACATAGAATCTTTGAAGCAGGTAATTTCTAAAAAGATTACTCTTTCCATATGGATGTTGTATTGTAATATTTGTGTATAATTAAGTTTATCTGCCTTCTTTCTGGAGTCTTCCTTTCTTCCTCATGATAATTTTAGTTGTGGATTGGCACTATCTTGCTGAAACAGCGTTTACATTGTTTTGAACAAAATCATTCAGGGGATGTGTACTTCACTGGCATTTATTGCCAATCTTTAATTGCCCTTAAAGTGATGGTGAACTGTCTTCCTGAACTGTTGCAGGCCATTTGGTATAAGGATATGCATCAGTTTGCATGAGCATTGAAAAATAATCACATTTTGTCAAAGCTGTGCATCTTGCACTCATCAACACAATTCACATTAACTACAAATGTAAAAGGAAAGTCAACTTTCAACTGAGATAACAAGGTGTAGAGCTGGATGAACACAGCAGGCCAAGCAGCATCAGAGGAGTAGGAAGGCTGACGTTTCAGGCCTAGATCCTTCTGCCTTCCTGCTCCTCTGATGCTGCTTGGCCTGCTGTGTTCATCCAGCTCTACACCTTGTTATCTCAGATTCTCCAGCATCTGCAGTTCCTGCTATTTCTGAATCAACTGGATGAGAGATGTACTGATTGGTTGGCAAGTGATATTTCATGCAAATTGTTCTGAGGAGGACAAGACTGAAAGCTTAAACAATTGTTTTTAAGTGATGCTCCAGTTCTATATTGAATTAAAAAAAAATCTGTTCAATTCTGGCAGAGAATAAAGTCCAAATGCTGAGACTTTGGGGATTAAGAAAGAAAAGTGCTGTCTGGAGGTTCCATGTTTTTCAGAGGAGAATGGAATAATAAGTGGTCGGAAAATTACAGGTTTACATTACACAACAGAGCTGTATGGTGGCTCAGTGGTCAGCACTGGTGGCTCAGTGGTTAGCACTGCTGCCTCATAGGATCAGGGTCCCAAATTCAGTTCCACCCTCTAATGTCTGCTTGTGTGGAATTTGTGCTTTCTCCCCGTGTCTGCATGGGTTTCCTCTGGGTGCTCCGGTTTCCGCCCATAGTCCAAAGATATGTAGGTTAAGTGGATTGGCCATGCTAAATTGCCCATATTGTCCAAGGACGTGGAGATTAGGTGAATTAGACATGGAAAATGCAGGGATAGGTTGGGGGGTTGGGTCTGGGTCGGATGCTCTTCGGATGGTCAATGGGCTGAATGGCCAATTTTCACTCTGTAGGGATTCTATGATTCTAACTAAAGGCTAGTCTGCTGGATGAAGGGTCTGTTTCCATGTGTTATGACTCTATGATTCTGTGATGGGCGTCATTATATTTCCATCACTACTACTTCTGTCTTCCTTTTCTTGTTTCCCCATTAAATGGGGTCAGCTAATAAAAAATATTTAGTTTCCACATGACCTAGTTTTGTTGCTGTTGCACTTTTCACCACTTTCGATTAGTGTTATGATATTATGGGTATCCTTAATGGGTAGGTGAGTGCTGATTTCTAAGCCAGACTAATTTACTTTTTTTTCCCCCCACTCCTCCTTTTTATAGAATTTCTTTTCTTTGGATTTTTGGTCTTTGGATTCATAAGCTTTGTGTTGGCAACGCGATTCTCTGCACTTGACTTCATCAGTAAGTATGGAATAGAAAATTCAGCTCTTCGAATATTCTTTTGAGTTTCCAATTTATTCAACTCTGCACTTAATATGGAAAGGCTGGAAGTATTGCTACATAGTTTGTCTTCTAACCTCAAGATGAGTTCTCAATCACATTGATTTTCTCAACAAAAGCTTAACTTCTCTTTCACACTTGGGAATGTGTTGCAAAACATGTTTAGCTGATTTGGTTAAGGGAATGCAGCATAGGCTTTAAGTGTGATAAATTTGTTAGAGTTCGACGTGATCTTGATGAGCTGGGCCAATTGGACAAGGTGTGGCAGATGAAGTTAGGGACACCACCACCATACCACAAGGTTCCTAAAGGTGTCCAGTGGTTGCTTGGCCTGACCACTGAAGCAGTGTCCTTGCAACAAAAAGGTTAAATTATCCCATTGACTAGCTACACCAACTACGATGAAGCACATAGAATAGGTATCTAGCTGTAACCTAAAGTCACTCACTGGGTTTACTATGTTTAACTTAGTGAATGGTTTAATTTTTATTCTGTATTGGATGTCAGTGTTGCTGACAGAGTGAGCATTTGTTTTTCTTGAGATGGTGGTAACCTGCCTGTTTGAACTGCTGCAATCATTTGATGTACTTGCACCCACGATTCCGTTAGAGAGAGAAATCCCACATTTTGACCCTGAACGAGTGGGCCATAGTTCTACGACAGGATGATGAGTGGCTTTGAGGGGAGCTTGCTGGTGTTGCCATGCATCTGTTGTCCTTATCCTTCTGGGTGGTGGAGGTCGAGGGTTGGGAAGATGCCGCCTAGGGAGCCTTGATGGGTTGCTGCAGTGCATCGTGTAGATGATACACACTGCTGCTCTTAGGTTGGAAGCTTCACAGAGAACAAGGTTGAGAATCCTATCAGAACCAGAGAATCAAGTTCAATTTCAGTTATTTCTGAAATGAGAGAATTCTCTACAATTGATGCACAGTGGAGTATCTGCTGATGCACAGTATTTAAAATTTGATGTCCTAAAGGCACGTGCTTTCAGGCCTTCCTGTTATTGCCAGTTTTTGGCATAATTTGATCTCCTTAAGACATGCTATTCTATTCTTTTTCTAGAGCGGTTCCAAATTATGGTGGCAGCGGGACTGCTAGGTGGTGTGGTAGTGACACTGATTAGGGGCATTTTTGGTGTTCCCATATCCTGTGTAACATTCGTGGGAACGGTGCTGGGATTTCTGGTAGCGGCAATTGTTTTCTTTACTCCGCTTGGTAAGTCAAAGGTAAAAATCTATAAACCTGTTGCTTTTGTGGAAATAATTGCATGAGCTTTCATCCATTTCTGAATTGTGTGATATCAATTTAGAGAAACAAAACCCTTGACTCGGTACACTGTCTCCTTTATTCTTTCCATCCCTCCTACCTCCTGTATCCAGTTAGGTTTTGATTGTGTTATTTTGCAATGGCTAAAAGGATTTAAGGCTAGGAGGTCCAGCTGGTTTCAAAGGTCATATGAGCCTGTAGTGGTTTGGCTGCCATTTTGATTCTTCCTGTTCCTACAATTTGTATTTTGGTTTATGAATATGCTGAACATTTCTATCATTTTGGTAAATTTGCACCTCACTATAGATAGATTTGGAGATTAATTGTATGCCCGTGACCAACCTAGTAGTAGTAACTGTTCAGCAAATAAATATGGCTCCAAAGTTAGTGGGGATATGATTATGATCTTAGAAAATGGGAATAGAAGTCTACTACCCAGTTCCCATGTCACTCAGTAAGATCACTGCTGATCTTGTTTCGAGTTTCACATTCCCATCTACCCCCAATAACCTTCAATTACTTGTATAACAATCTTGTGGTAGTGAAGAGGCAGACAATACAATTGTACTATGTAAAGAGGCCATTCAAGCCATTGAGTCTGCGTTGACCCTCCAAAGAGCATCCCACCCAGATGTACCACCTCCCATCCCCTCCCTAACCCTACGCTTACTATAGCTAATCCACCTAGCCTGTATATCTTAGGCACTACAGGGTAATTTTACTATGGCCAATTGACCAAACATGCACATCTCTGGACTTCTGAAAGAAACCGGAGCACCGGACAGAAATCCATGCAGTCACAGGAAGAACACATGCACTCCACACAGACTGAGGTTGGAATTGAACCTGGATTCCTAGCACTGTGAGGCAGCAGTGCTAACCACTGAGCCACCATGCCACCCCATGTCAAGCTGATGTAGTGGTTTAACCTGAGGGTTGCCATACCTCAGGCAAGAGACTATGTTGAGAAAGAATTGAACCCACTCTGCTGGCATCACTCTATTGCAAACCAGCTGTCCAACCGAATCAAACAGCATCTGCAAAGAGAAATTCTGTGATCCCGCATTTAGAAATGATGCACATTTTAATTGTATTTTGTCCTAAGCACAGTCTGATCGCAGGCCTTTGAGCACACTATGGGAGTTGCTATCTAATTTATTCTGAAATAACTGAGTGCTAGATAGCCTCACTGTTAGCCTTGGCATAACATTACAGCTGTTGTGCATTAGGTTGTTTTCTTGCAGAAGTTGTCCTTTTTGTTTGATACTGCAGGTCAGCCAACATCTATATCTACGTTTAAGTGTTTTTTTTCTTCAATTGCATTGTGTGGTAATGTGACCAAAAACATCCCTGTTTACTTGCTGACCAAGTGTATGTGGTGTCAGCCATACGCATGCTTTTGCTTTAAACATTTGTGTTACTTTCCATGTTGACTTTGTCATTGAGGAGAATTACTTTTATTTGTTCTTTTCAAAAAGCAAATTTTACCGTATTTCGCAACGACATCAACTTCTGGATTATTTTTGCCTGTGTGATGCTGTTGGTGCCTACGGTTTTGATTCTGTTTCCAAGGACAGTGAGTACCTGTATTTACTTTGCTTTCCCAGTTCAGTCATATAAGCTTTCTCAACTGTAAGAGATAAAAAACAGCCCTTAATTTGAAAAATATTTAGAGTAACCATTTCAAACGATGCCTTTTTGATCTAGTTTTTCACCTTGCTCAGTCTGACATGCATATATCCTCATTCCATTTCAATTCAATGAGCTAGCATCTTTGAGATCTTAAAATATGCCCCATCTGTCTGTCTGGTTGTTTATATAAAACACTGCGAAAGGGAGGAGTTAACTGGTCTCCTATTCAACATACATTCAACTAAAAATCAAATTCTGGGCTAAAGTAATACTGCATTTAACGGCATTTATCTTTGTCATTGTATAATTTGACTCTGGGTGCTGCATTGGGAGATCAATATCCATTCAAGTTCCTGCAAAAATTTAGGACAATTAATACTGCAATGTTTGCTTTAATAAAGAAATTGATGATCCTGCAATGGCACCTGAACTTCCTGCACAGATTGTGATCAATTTCAGCAGGTAGAGCCTTATTCCCATGAAGATTAAATTGTTAGAGGACATTTTTAAACAGACGTTTAAAGATTTTCCTAGTCCACTCACTCACTCCACTCACTGCCACTATTTCTTAAGCTGTACCTGATGTGACTCTAATACACCATTCATCCTGTTCCTTTCTCAATCCTCAAATCTCATTGGTTGAGGAAATGTATGGGGGCAGGTCCTGTTGTTCACTAACGTTCCGAGTGTCTATCAACATTACCAGCTCGTGTTTCAGGTGAAAAGTTTTATGAACTGGAGGGAGGCAGGAGGGAATGGGCTGCATTGTGAAGTGACCCACTCCACGAGAGCCATCGACTGACCACTGCATCGGTATAGTCTTCCAACTTATTGTATTTATTCACGGGATGTGGGTGTCACTGGCTAGACCAGTATTTATTGCCTCTCCCTGATAGCAAGAGTCGACTACATTGCTGTGGGTCTGGGGTCATTTGCAGGTCAGACCAGGTACGGTCAGAATTCCTTCCCTGAAGGACTTTAGTGAAACAGATAGGTTTATGACAACAATCAGGCTTTTTTTATTTCAGGTTTTTCATTTTCATTAAAGAAAAATATTCTAGATAATTTCAGATTTTTCCTTTATTTAATTTAAATCTCACCACCTACCATCATGTGATTTGAACTCCTTTCGCAGAACATTAATCCTGGGTTCTAGTTTATTGGCCCAATTACATTGCCATGGCACACCACCTCCCCTAAACTTCACTACAAATTAGTGACAACATCAATGCTCCCTGTCATTGGAGATCAGGCATGTTACAGATGTTGTATAAATCCAAACACTTTTTTTTTAAACTTTTTTTTGGTGTTGGTTTGAAGGTAGTTACTTTGGGTCTCAATTTTAAAAAGGGAAGTTGATGGCCTAATGGTATTATCACTAGACTGTTTAATCCAGAGAACCTGGTAATGGCCTGGGGACTCGGGTTCAAATCCTGTCATGGCAGACGGTGGAACTTGAATTCAATTTTTTTAAAAATCTGAAGTTTTCAAGAAGATTTGTAGCTCGGGTTGTGGATGAGATGTAGACATGCTCGCTGAGCTGTTGGGTTTGGTTGCAAATGTTTCGTCACCCAGCTAGGTAATTTCATTGGTGCGTTGGTGATATTCTGATCCGCTGGTTATTTATATGCCTCCGCTTGAGGTGTTTGTTACCACTTTGGGCTCTGTTTCTCTGAATTAAACCCTGTGTACAAACCACAGAGAAACAGAGCCCAAAGTGGTACCAAACACCTCAACAAACTGAGGTATATAAATAACAAATGGGGCAGAACACCAACGCTTCACCAGAGGCGCACTGACAACGTTACCGAGCAGGGTGACCAGAAACGTCCGCAGTCAAACACATCAGCTCAGCGAGCATGTCTACAACCTCAAAACAAATCTGGAATTAAGAGTCTATGATGACCATGAATCCATTGTCAATTGTTGGGAAAAACCCATTTGCTTCACTAATGTCCTTTTAGGGAAGGAAACTGCCGTCCCTAACTGGTTTGGCCTACACACCTACAGCAATGCGGTTGACTCTTAACTGCCCTCTGGGAAATTAGGAATGGGCAATAAATGCTGCCTAGCCAGTGACACCCTCATCTGACGCAATCACCAACTCGTAGTACAAGATTTGATGGAACTCTGAGTTGGAGTTTCTGCCACTCAAATTTATACATTGTTACAACATGCATGTGTAATGTTGTGAAGTGGGGCTGTATTTTGCTGAATCAAGTATTAAGTTCATTGCTGTTAAAGTTGTGTGTGTGTTTTTTTTTAAACAGTTGAACATCATCACTTGTGCACTGGTTGGATCTTATGCTGTAATTATTACGGTTGGGGTATATGTCTACACCAGCTTGACATTCATAATTCTCAATATTATTAAAAGAGCAATATACCCAAATTTTGCAAAAGTGGAGAGTGATGCTCCTTTCCAGCGTACTGGTAGGTATTTTGAGTAAAAGCTTCGTCTTGAGGTTGATGAAAGCTGATTATAGTTTTGTTTAGGGAGGTTCTGATTAAAACTTATCACCACTTTTTTTGCATGGGATTGCCGAATTACATCACTGTTGGTTGAAGTCCACTTACTCTCATGAGTAAATAATTGGTGATTTAATTTGATTTGCGGTAGTCTCATGTACCCCAGTAGAATGAAATGTTTTGTTCTGCATGTAGCGTAGGCAGATCACAACATACAAGGACATACAGATCATAAGGTATTTGGACAGAGTGAGACATAAGAAATTTTTACAGACTGAGAATTGAGGTTTAAAAGTGTGGAACGGTTGTAAAAGAACGTGACCTGTAAAGAGCTCAAAGAATCCCCCAGTGTTGGGTGTTGAATCTTTTGCCTAATGCAGTCAGTGGTATTTCAACGGTGACACTATACATTGGTATTCCAATGTTTTTATTCTCTACAATGTAACTTTACTAAGGAGGGACAGCCACAGTGGTTATATAAATGCCAATGGGATAATAATAGAATCTTTACAGTGCGAAAGCAGACCATTCAGCCCATCGACTCCATACTACCCATCCAAAGAGCATCCCACCCAGAACCACCTCCCAACCCAATCCCTGGACACTATGGCAATTTAGTATGGCCAATCCACCTAATCTGCTCCTCTTTGGACTGTGGGAGGAAACCCATCCAGCCACGGGGAGAACGTGCAAACTCCACATAGACAGTCGCCCAAGGGTGGAATCGAACCCGGGTCTCTGGTGCTGTGAGGCAGCGGTGCTTACATGGGATGTACTTTTTCACTGCATAAGTGCATAAGGAAACACATTATTTAGAAAGGAAGATCTAATGAAATTTTATGGTCCTCACTGAACGTAACTTAAAGTTTTAATTTTTTCTTCTCCCAGATTACATTCTGACCGCATTATGGGCTGTGCTGTTTGTTAGTGGTACAACATTGCAGTTGATTTTGGAAAGAAATAGATTACCTTTTCCACCCTGTCCATATGATAACTGGAGGAGGAGGAGGAGACCTGCTGCCTTTGGAGAACGAACACCTTTGTTAAGGCCGCCTGAAATATGATTCTGGACAGCATTTTGCTGTAGCGTGTTAATTTACTCATCTCTATATTGTTTGGCCATGTTGACATTTATGGAGTTCTACATCAACTATCTTCCAAATGTAGAATTGCATTGTCTGTGGGTCTTTCAGGTTTTAAATTGGGATATTCATTGAATTGGTTTTGGAGGAGCCTGAAATATAATAATTTTTTGAACTCATTTGAATTGAATATCTGCCACTTTATTTGGAAGAAAAGGGGGAACCATTTTTTTTTTTTTTTTTTGTTACTAACTGCAGGCTTGAAATAAATGTGTTTATGTGTATTTGGTAGCACCTATTTTACATTTTAAGATAATGCTACTCTTAATTGTATTTCTATCACTTTCTTGCCCTTTACACCTGAACTGTACAATTTCATTCTATTTTGTGATACCTTGTATAGTTGTAATGTAAAATGTCAATTGTGAAATACTGTTTCACATGAATTTAATTTTTCTGATTCACGTTTCTAAACTCCTGCAAAAATGCTATCAAAAATATTTTTTTAATTAAATGACTTGCCTTTCATATGGGTATTTACAAAGTCACTTTCACTTCTGGATCTGCAATCAATGAGCAAGTGTAGCGAGTAGAGTAGTTGACTCTGCTCTACAGGTTCAGTCTCTGCTTGGTGCTGAGTTAAGGATCACGATTAGGATGATAATGAAGGGATTGATGGGTTCATTGCCTTTGGATCAAAGCCAGGGATATTGTTCATGCTTTCCATCTTGCTAGTCTGCAAAGTTGCTATTGAAGGAACCTTTTGTCTGATTGATTAAACTGATCTGGCAGACAATGCTTAGAACAAGCAGGTACCAATCATTTCTGCCCAATCTTTCAATCTAGGCAGAACGTATACTCCATTGCTAAAGTGAAAGATAAGGGTTTAATCTAACATATAATCCACATTACATTTAGCTTCAATGGCACAAACTTCTGATGGGGCAATGGTCATTACAACAGCATGGTTTGGAGTTGTGTGTCTGGACTCTGCAGAAAAGTTCACCAACTCTGAACCACAGTCAGATATCAGAGGGTTCCAACTTGCTTAAACTTGTTTAGTTACCCAGGGAAGGTTGGTGGAATTGAAACTTGTTTTAATGCCCAAGCAACGAACTAGCTGAAACCCCCAACCCCCTCCCCCTGCAACACCATGTCAGGCCAAACACCGTGACCCCTCATCTAGACTGGAATCTTTGAAAGAAGAAAGTTTTGGGAAACCTCAGCAGGTCTGACAAGATTTAGGAAGTGGGAAATAGCTGATTTGAGTCAAATAATGTTTTGGAACAAAAAATTTTCAGAAAAATCACTTGACTCAAAACGTTAACCATTACCGCAAGTATGTTTCTATTTATGTTCTGTGTGGAACTGTATTTGGCCTAAAGTACGAGAAGTATTTGAGTTTCCAAATCACATGCACTTTAAATAAAATTTTAAAGTTTCTACTTGTATTAAATGCTTATGTTTATATCATAATTGCTCCATTTTAAAATTGCCTATATTTTATGTATATTGCTGTTACTGTACCTTGGGCCAGAGCTTGCTGGGGAGAAAATGGTGTTTTTGATGCACTGTGTTCTTAGTGTCAGTCACTCTTTCTTTTTTTCATTCATTTGTTCCTTTTCACTCTCTTTTCTCTACCCTAGAGACTCGTGTCTTTCATTCACACCTCAAGCAGCTCGGCAGAATAGAGAAAATACATAATCCAATTCAGAAAAGCAAGCCTAGCAATGTTTTCACTCCATGTCCCACCAAATAATAACCTACTTTGTGGCTTCTAGCTTTTGTTAATTTACCTACCTTTGTTTAACTGTATCCTATTGAGTAGATTACTCTCTACAAAATAGAATGGTTTGTAGTATCTAATCTGTATAACTCTGCTTTTGTAATTTATTGAACTTACTTCCTGCCAACCAAATAACCTATCCATGCTGAAAATAGGAGCAGGGCTAGGTCATTCAGCTCCTGAGCTTGCTGTACTGTTCAGGTATAGATTGTTGCTCCAGTTAAACATCAGTTGTCTGCACTATCTCATAACTCTTCCTGACCATTAACTAATATCCTTTAGGGAATGAAACTGCCATCCTTACCTAGTCTGGCCTACGTGTGACTCCAGACCCACAGCAATGTGGTTGACTCTTAACTAACCCTCTGGGCAATTAGTGATGGCAATAAATGCTGGCTTAGACTGTGATGCCCTCAGCCTGTGAATAAATTTAAAGAATCCTGTACATTTCAGTCCTGCATGGCCTACCCTGTATTCTGGTGAACCCTGTAAGAATCCAGTATGTCTCGGAGGTCTCCTGATATTAGGCCAACTGACTTTGTTGTTCTCCATGTATTCTCTTCCTTATTTTAGATAGTGGAGATATATTTACCACCTTCCAGTCTGCAGAAAGCATTTCAGAATCTAGAAAATTTTAAAAGGTGATCAGCAATGCATCCACTGTCTGTGATCATCTTTCATCACTCTCCATAGAGAATCGGGTCTAAGGGATTTGCCAATCATTCCTATTAATTTTATCAATACTACTTTTTTTATTTACTAATTGGTCCTTTGGTTCTATTGTATTTCTGAGAGTTTTGTTTCATATCTTCCTCTGTAAAGATAAATACGTTATTGTTCAGTTTCTCTGCCTTCTTAAAATTTTGATGGATGTTGCTGGCAGACCAACATTTATTGCCCATCCTTGGTTCCCTTCAGGTGGTAGTGAGCTGTCCTCCTGAACTGCTGCAGTCCCGATGCTATAGGTAGACCCACAGTGCTGTTGGGGAGAAATTTCCAGGATTTTGACACTGGAAGGAATGGTGATATATTTCCAAGTCAGGCTGGTGAGTGTCTTGGAGTTGAGCATGCAAGTCGTTGTGTTCCCTTGTATCTGCTGCCCTTGTCTATTGAAATGGTAATTAGAAGGTTCAGTCTGATTCCACAATTCTCCTGTCTCTGCCTGTAGTAAGCCCACAAGTAATAGGCAACAACACCTCCATTGATAATCCTCAACACCAGTCCCCTGCAAGGCTGCGTACAAACCCCCTTTACTATGCTCCTTATATACTCCTGACTGTGTGGCCAAAGTTATTTCTAACTCCATTTACAAATTTGTTGATGACGCCCACCATAGTGGGTTGGATCTCAAATAATGAGACCGAGTACAGGAAAGTGACAGAGAGCTTAGTGTTATGGTGTAAAGGCAACAATCTCTCCGTCCAAGTCAGTCAAATGAAGAAGTTGGTCAGCGACTTCAGAAAGTGGAATGGAGGACATGCCCCTGTCTGTGTCGATGCTGCTGAGGTGCAGGTGATCGAGAGCTTCAAGTTCCTAGGAGTAAATATCACCAACAACCTGTCCTGGTCCATCCATGTTGATGCTATAGTCAAGAAAGAACACCAATGCCTCTATTTCCTTAGGCTACAGAAGTTCAGCATATCCACAAAAACTCATCCTTTTTTTTAATATAGATGCACCATACAAACATCCTATCCAGCTGCATCACAGTTTGGTTTGGTAACTGCTGTGAATGCAGCCCAGTTCACCATGCCACCCAGGCTTGCACCCATTGTTGACTCCATCTACACTTCTCACTGCCCCAGAAAAGCCGCCAACATCATCAAATACTCCTCCCACCCCGCTTATACTCTCTTCCATCAGGCAGAAGATACAAAAGTTTGAAAACACATACCAACAGATTCAAGAACAGCTTCTTCCCTGCTGTCATCAGACTTATGAACTGACCTTTCATACATTAGAGTTGATCTTTCTCTGCACCTTCTCTGTAGTTGTAACACTATATTTTTCATTCTGTTCTGTTACCCTAATGTACTCACGTAAGGCATGATTTGTCTGGTTAGCACACAAAACAATACTTTTCACTATCTCGGTCCATGCAACAATAATAGATCAAATCAAATCAAATCCAGATGTTTCAGGTTTTTCTAATATTTCTTGCTAATTTACTTTCATTCTGTTTACCCTTTCAGATTCCTCATCCTCCTTTGCTCGATTTGATAATACACCCAATTCTCGAGCTTCTCCTTTCTGTTTTTGTGGGGAGGCAAATTTAGAAGTTTCTTCCTTGGATTCAATACTTCTTTTAACTTCACATCAGCCAGATAGTGCCCAGGGATGTTTTGGTTAGGTGGGTTAGATATTGGAAATGCAGGGATTGGGGAATGGGTCTGGGTGGGATGCTCTGCGGAGGGGCTGTGTGGACTTGTTGGGCCAAATGGCCTGTTTCCACACTGTAGGGATTCTATGATTGTACCACTCTTCCTGCACTGTTCGTCTGTACGTATTTACTGACAGCTACCTTTTCTTTCTCTCTTGATATTACCTTAAACTGCAGTCTGACCACCTCCCCTAAATATATTTCCCACATTCTTTCTAGTCTCACAGATGTGCCACAACTTTTCCAGCTGTTGCTCGCTTTCTGAGACTGGACCTCAACTTTCTGCAACTGGTTATATTTTCTGTCCATGATTGTCCAGATCATGGTTAGAATTCCCATGTACTGCAGGCTGGAAATTCCACACTGCTGAACTACTCTACTATGCCTTAACTTACATTTACTTAGTTTTGCTTCACCTTAGCTTTACTTCCTTCTTGCTTATACTCGTAATATTCAACTGCAGCCTTTTTTTTAGTTTTTCCATTTTTCTGCTATTACGGACACTCCCTTACAGCAGTTTCTCACCAACCAATCAAGTTATAGCTTTCCAGTGATATCTCTTAGGTACTCGCTCCCTCTCACTCCCTCTCACATTCTTCTAAGACCTGGGTCTGTTTTCTCTTTAAATTCCTTCGATCCAGATCTTTTAAAAGAGGATTAATTTCCCTTGCTAATGAGCCTTAACCAATATATTAATGTTTATTAATAAACCTTACCCACATGGAAATCCTGTTAATACTTAGCATAGTTTACTAGTATTAATAAACCTTCTTTTAAAAGCAAACTTGCTAGTTTATTCCTGCTTCTGTGTACTATCGTGTTTCCATTTGTCTTTACACATGTTGACTCTGAACCTGTTGGTTCTCCAAGGCCTCTCCTCAATAACTACCTTCTGCATTGCTTTGTGCCCAGCTGTGTTCTCAGTCTTCTTTGGTCCTCTCTGAATCAGTTCAAAGAAATTAATTATATTTTCTTGTTGTTTATGCATAGAATCCCCACAGTGTGGAAGCAGGCCTTTCAGCCCATTGAGTCTATGCTAGCCCTCTGAAGAGCATTCCACCCAGACCCACACCCTACCCTATCCCCCTATATTTCCATGGCTAATGCACTTAACCTGCACATTATGGGCTGTTTAGTATGGCCAATCCACGTAATCTGCACAAATTTGGACTGTGGCAGGAGACCCACGCAGACACGGGAGAATGTACAAACTCCACACAGACAATTGCCCAAGGGTAGGATCGAACCTGG